ACAACCCACTGTAGATCGATTGATTATCATCAACGTCCAATCGCTGTTTTGCCTTGCGTTGAGGGTTTTGTCCAAACAATCTTAGAACTTAAGCTTCGCATTCTTTTGCGTTCTTTCACACTCCAATTCCAGCCAATTCGGGGGTTAGTATGCCCGCTGTCTCTCGATTTGCGTAGCTCCGAAATCATTTTCACGAAGAGTTTGACAGTTTGATTGCACATATCGCATCATAATTCAGGGTGACATTTTCCGCAACATAATTAAGTTATGTAATTAAAATTATCGCCTTGATTGTTGAATGAGATGTTTACAACTCGGAAAGTAAGCTGAATCAACAACTGAAACATACCGAACAGCCTTAGCCATGTACGAAGTTGGGTTGATTCTTACTGACTGATAGGACGAGGAAATGCGCAACAAAGCTGTGTTCGCTGAGTTGAACCAGGTCATGATAATATTTGGCCCATTATTTTCTCCGGAGCATGTCAGTTCTGTACCGATCTTTGGACTACCAGTTTCAGTGTATCAGTTTGTACAAGCATTAAGCATGCACTGTTGTGCACCGGTTTTGGTTGCTGTCTTCTGATTGCTGTCCATTCGAGTGAAGCAGTAAAAGAAAGATCGGAAAGGTTGGAAGAAGGATCAAAGAGAAAAGTTTTGGAGTTTCATTGCACTAATGTTGTAGAGAAATTTCCAAGATGCACGAACCCCACTGTTTTGGACACAGTCATATCACTCAGTGTCTCCAACCACCGGTGACCTGACCGCAAGTCCCACTTAGGGAGCCTAATGGGACCTATGTGACCCAGTCCTCTGGTAAGAGTTTTCATACCCTCGTCTCAGGTCTTCGTTTGACCACCCTTGACTTTCTTCCACCCGCTACCTGCCTCGGTGAACATCGCTCGCAGTGGCAACCTATCTGGTGACACACGCAACACATACCCCAAACAACGTAATCTATGGACATCAACCACTTTCTCTAGAGGGCGACGGCGGTTACGAAAATCTGTGTGCTTTACTTCAGCGTTGTTCGTCGGACTGCCATACCAGGTTTGTGCAATGCTGCATAGACAGAGGTGTTCAAACACCGACAGTCTATGTTTATCCTGTTTTCCTAATGGCCAAGTTTCTGCGCCGTATGGCAGAACTGGCAGAACTTCCGTAGCATACACTCGACTTTTGACGGACAGTCGGATGTCGCGACGGCACCATAGATGTCTCAAGTTGGCAAATGCCAATCGAGCCTTCTGTATGCGAGTTAACCCTTCATCTGTGATGAGTCTACCGGGTGAGATGTAGCTGCCCAAGTAAGTGAACTTATCCACCCCCTGTATTATTTCTCCACTTAGAGTGAATCTAGGTGCTGGACCAACCTGGTCTTTTAGCAACATTTTACACTTTGAATGTGCAAAACACATACCAAACATGGCTACACTAGCACTCAGGCTATCCAGAAAAACTTTTAACTCACCTGGATCTTCAGGTAAGTCGCAACCAGACAACAAGTGCAAATCTAAGATTGTTTTCCACTGTTGTTCATCCGCTGTCCAACTTGATCATAATCAGCCTAACGTGACATGCCAAAAAGTGTGATCTGTTTCAGTTCAGTAAACATGTCGTTCTGACTGCAATGGTCAGACCATTGTGGACAGGCAACAAAATCTTGGCACTGCTCAAGGACAATATCAAACATTGAATGAGTTTATCGAAGTGATAGCAAGAATAATTCAGGATTGGTTGCACCAGACGTGGAGCCAACGGCTGTCGGTCACGTGCACGTTGACTGGCAATCGACATCATCACACGGATCAAAATCTTGCACGTACAGTAGACAGATACATGAACAAGGACACCGATTGGCATGTATAAACTGTTCTAGGTCACAAATATTTTTAGCAATGGAACATAAGGGATTTTGTAGCGTAAGAGAAATTATTGTATTCCACTTATTCAGGTTTAAGTGTTATTTTATCGACCCATTTACACGTGTATGCCTATGCAATGGTGCGAACAGAAAATTCAACTCAATCCAAGAGTGAAAAATGCAGTTTGTGTATAATTCATGCACAGGTATCCTGATCTGCTGAATGGCAGACATCGGACCTATAATGCTTTTGTTGATCGAGATACCAACAGACAGTTTGTCTATCATGACTCAAAATTTGGCTTCTTTAAGTTATCACAGGCTCGGTGAACTTCTGGTGGGAACAGTTCATCCAGGGATTGTCAGCTTCTAGCAGAATCGTGATCTCGGAAGCTAGCTATTGAGACGAGTGAGGTCGGATATTTGTAGAGCTATTTTGTACCGTATCGTGTACGTGTGGTTTTGGGTTACAAATACGGACTGGAAACCAGTACAGTAACAACTCTTTACCATCATTAGCACCCGGGGAGTCCCGGGTTCGAACCGCTCCATCACCGCCCGTCTTCCCTAATTCTGTATTTTCCAGGCAGCATTTATATGCGGCCCTCCTAATTCAATGTTGACTGAACATTTTTATATTCAGTAAATAACAAAAAGGAAGTAAAACGACATTATTATTATTAGTAGTAAGCGTAGAGTGTTGGTAAACTACTGGACTGTTGACTAATTAGATGACTTCATCAAAAACCCAATCGGTCTAGGTAAAGCCTTTACATTTTGGAGTTCGGGGACGGTCAATAGGTTATGGGTGAAAAAAATTGTTCCGCCCATCTCTAAGCATTTGTTCACTAGTTCACAAAATTGTTCGTCCCTACTATTTCCTTTGTTTTTCTCAATCCTAGAACTACCGATAACTGGATTCCGACATTGAGCATAGTCTCGTGATTGTAACGATTTGAAAATGTATTGGTCCCAAATCATAATTTAGGACCTCTCAACGTGGATTAGGAACGTGCATGGGCATTTTTACATTTTGTCCGTTTGATGAACTGAAACCAAACTGGTAAATCAACTGAGAAAAAATCTCTCTGAACAAAGGAGATATGCGCAACTCCTCCCCGATCGGAGTAAACGTGTGATCTGAGGAAATAAATCTATCGTTAATAATTTTCTCGTCAGTAGTGATGATCATCCACCTCCCTTTCCCCCCCCCCCCGCACACACACACACACTTACTCGTTGTACACCAGTCGTAAAAGGCGATACTAGAGATTAGGATTGAGACCAATGAAAGGCTGTCAAACGGGTTATAAGGGAGGAAGGGAAACGGTCACTGGTGTTGAACGTACGAACTGCGAGGCATCGGGTCGATGTCAACGGATATTCACATTTCTCTTAGTCTATCCTGGTCGGGTGTTGGTGAAATATGAGGTACTGGCATCAGTGATATTTATAGAATAGCCTCATCTCCTTTCCTTTATTCTTGTTATTCATTATCGACATTTCACTGTCATTGTTTATTCATATGTAATGTTCACAATCAGTGGTGGTGGTGGTCGTAGTGCTGGTGGTCAGGTGGTTGCGTTACCAGCTTGTGACCCCGGGGAGTCCGGGGTTCGAACCGCTCCACGGCTGCTCGTCTTCCGTGATTCTGTTTCTTCCTAAGGCAGACTTTGTATGATCGCGGCCCCTCTTTCTGAATGTTGACTGTAAATTTATATATTCAATAAATAACAAAAAGGAAATAAAAAGACATTAATTATACTTATTCATTTTTTAAGTTACCACAGCACAAAATGTCAGCAATGAATTACCAGTAAAACACCGACGAGAGAACTTACGCAAAACATGTCTCATCGTGCGTTCGGGTTGGAGCACGAGTTTCTCGTACGGGACCGTCAGACAACGCTTCAGGGTCAGATTGAGACATTGATCCAAAATAGAACTGGTGATTTGTTCCCAGCGCTTGAATACCTGTTCGGCGGTGGACACCTCTGGTGTCATTCGTATTCGGCGCCTAAAAGCATGCGGATGAAGATATTGATTGATAGAAATGTTTTCCTAAATTTAAAATATGTTTACATGATCGAGTATTCGAATATTCTATTCTTTAATTTGACAAAATTAGGCGAGTTGTAAATAACGCAGATAAGAAGTAACTCAGGATCTGTATGTTGACTACCCCAGGGTGTGTCCACATGTAGGACAGTCAGGGTCGTCGGTAAGTCGTCACAGGTTTGAGGCATAAGTCTGTTCCGATTGTGGGTTGATAAATCATGTTAAATCCAATATTTTCATGTATTGAAATAACTGGTACTTTTTCGTGATTTCAAAAGCTAATCAGAATTACAGCGTACACTCGAAGACTTGTACATTATGCCAGTACCACAAGTGGCGATTTAATCAGACATTCTTCTAAATTTATCTGGTGCTGCATTAGTGCAGATGAAACAAGATCGGGGATGTTTTATCGGACAAGGAGCTATTACTCTGACCAGCAACAAAGATGAACGTAACAAATCGTTTAGTAATGCTCTTGTCAAATACTCCCCGTTCAGTCTGATTCTTGTGGTTTGAGAAAATACTGTACATTTGAGGTACTGTTTCTAAGCACGTAGGTGCCAAAATGGACACACATCATAAATGAAATACTCTGATTGCACAACTATTAACAGACAAAGAGAATTGAATTGACGAACTGGAAATGGTTAGTGTTCGAACCCCTATTGAGGAATGCAGTTAACAGTCTCAATCTATACTTCAGCTATATGGAAGATACGTTCATTATTTGTGAACCTGGAACGAACATCGTAAAGCTACTTCAAATATTTAACAACGCTCATCCGGGTATACGATTTAAAATAGAGATAGAAAAAGACAACTTTTTTGCCTTTCTCGACATTGATCTTCGTCTTACAGATGATGGCTATATCGAAAGAACAGTATACCGTAAACGAACGTGAGCTGGACTACACACACACTTTCAAAGTTTCGTCCCACTGAAATACAAACGTAATTTAGTGAACTGTCTGGTGCACAGGGCAAGGAGAATTTTTAGTCTGGGGAACCTGAATAACGAGCTGACCTACACAAGAGATATCCTCGGGATAAGCGGATATCCAGTACTTGTAGTGCTCGGTATATCGGACACATAACGAGGCGTTTGTCCAAAAGAATATCTGAACATTCTCCGGCAGCTATTCGAAAAGGAACAGTGAGAAGCTCAACCCTGTAACATTTGGTCGATAGTGGACACAGGATTGAAACAGAAACAGCATTTACACGTTTCTTCACTGCACCTAACAACCACACTAAACGATTACGTAAAAAGATCCTAACAACTGCGGAATCTATAGCAATCAGGATCTTGAAGCCGGAGTTGTGCAAGCAATGTAATCTGGTTCAAACACTACTGTTACCATGACCATAAGAACACTTGCCCATATCTCTATGTGATAATTTCTGTTCCCTCCCTCCCCCATTTACTGTCTTTTTCGCACACTTTCAAACCTGTTTTATTCACTCTTCACCAACACCTTTCACATCGTGTCCAATTCATACATTTTCTTCTCCGGCTTTCTCCTATCCAATTATCTTGACCCGACAGCTTGTTGTCAACCAAACATTTTTGCTCACAGACATTCATTCATCATCAGCCAAGGCCTTGCATTATACTACTGACTAATCGAACTATATATGTAAATGCCTGAAGCGATATATCGAAAAGAAATTTCTTCGTCTTTCAACTTTGTTCTTATGCATAGATGGGAATATTTTACGAAATAATTATTCATTGAGCAAGTATCGGTCTATTCCCTTGGTTACATGATCACGGGAAACTGAATCAAAGGTTCAAGGATATTCAAATAAACAAAATAATGCGAAGCGATGTTTTTGTGACGTCTCATCAGCATCATCTTCATCATTTTTTTAATTGACCAAGGTAGTGCAAAAAAACGTTATTCCGAGGTATGATGCTGAAACTTTACGGTTCCATTTCATCAGCCAGCCTCACTACACATATACAGTGATATGCACACACACACACAGACAGACAAGAACACCAACGCACGCTCACCTACACGCACATGCATGGGATAAATCCGAAGTTGAATTGTCCATTTTGAGTCTTAGTACGGTGCTCCTAGTCTTTCAACGAAATGGCGTTGAAGCATGAATGTGATCGGTACAGCTGTCAATGTTCAAAACCCGTAAAAGACTAATGCGAAGTGATCAGAGGTTTCCATTATCTGATTATTTTATTCTTTAGGGGACAAAATAACATCAATTTCACCGATGGGTTCTGTTCAAATACAGTCAGATTCACCCGGGCTTATGTTTACGGGCATACATTCAGACAAAGAGAAAGATATCCCATGGGATCAAACAAACGAGCAACTTGCATTTGTGTTTGTGTTTGTATAAATTGTGTAAGCTTATGTGCTTACATTTCAGTTAAAAATGTACTCACGTCGCCACGCGGAATAAAACATGGTTTCATGTAGCATGCAAAGTAAAGAATATCGCTGTAGTTTGTTTCGTATACAAAACTCTCGAAATAATTCACCTGTGACTTGCTCCTTTTGGGTAGGAGTCAGGTCAGATAGAGTACAGGGGAATGTTTATAAATGGTAATACGAGAGGGTAACTGCCGAAAAGCGCAGCATGTGGACAAATAAGAACAACAAGATGATAGATCGGGATGCAGGAATTGTATACAGTCGTCTAGAATCTGATTGGAAAGTTTGACACCGGTGTGACCATTAAAAAGTTCTATGATTATTGATTCGACTGGGACTAACCATGCGCGACTCATTATCATCAAATCACGACGAATGTTTGTGAAATCTTGTTTAAAAGGCCAGTAAACAGTGCAGGAGAACAATAGAGTAGAATGGGAAAACGCACTGGTGATTAAAAGAGGACAGGATCGACTCTGAGATTCGGAATTGCCAGAGTTTGTGAAACTGAAAAGACAGGCTTCTCAGTTTACCCATACAATTGTAAATGTGTGTGGATTAATGAAGAATGCTTCAAAGGTGACACACAGGTACTTGACCGAGATCATTCTGGAAACAGGTTTACAGTTAAGGGTCGCAGAGTCCTTTGCAACTGAGGCGCGGGAAAGACTGAAGATACACTCTACGCACTTAGATATGTTAAGACTGATACCAGATTGATTGGAAAACTGTTGGATGTGGGGTAGGTTTTCAATGAAAGAATCAAATTCTTGAAGGAGATGAAATTTTCTGACATCGAACGACCTCGTCGGCATATTTTTAGATGTGTGCAGGGGTGGGACCGTATGAGCACCAATACAAGCAGAAAAAATATACGAAAATAGAATAGCACCTTGAATAATAACAGAATTGTTAACAAGAGATTTCAATGTCCTCCTTTTTAATTTGGTGCACTGTACCCCATTCTATGAAATTACAGACTGAGACGGTATAGTCAAGCACTTTATCCATTAGTCGCAAACAGAGTGAGCTCGGAGGTGAAGAAAACCGAAAATCTTTCTACGTCTTATCAGGGGCGTTGAATCACTCTTGACCCTTTCCTAACCTCTGTCTTCGTTAAACAAATGCACTCACTGTACTGATTCATATTTTCCACCAAGCACTCCGAATGACCCTTCATGCTTGGATATATATACAAACCAGAGTAAGTTGGATGGTTGATTCAAATGTGAAAATATTATTACTATCGGTGTGGCTTCGTAGCTCAGGTGGTGAAACGTGCGCTGCACAAAAGCGTAGGTGGCGTCCCTGCGTGGGTTCGAATCACACCGGGGTTACTGAACTTTTCATAACTTCAATCCATTAAACAACCATTTTAACAGGCTACTTCTATCGGCTCCTCACTGCAAAGCTTCTTTGCCCTGACCATTGGGCAGCAAACCGAATTTCATTCTGCCTTGACCAATAAAAGGTTGCGGGAAATGGATGTGTTGGTCTTTCTTTGCACTGAATTATGCAACCTAGGGATGACTGATACACCTAGAAACAGCAATTTCATGTTGTGTTCCATTTCAAACTTGAACGGTATCTGCAGCGCTGAACTTGCTCAATAGTTCCGTTTGATCTGATGTCGCCTTCATCAAACAAAGAATGATGTCTGGTTAACGTGGGTATAGTACACAATTCTCGATGCTTGATTATGATTGAGTCATCGCAAATGATTCACCATCAAAAATGAGTTCAAGTCTCAAGGATAAAAACCACTCTGACCGTGAACGAAACGTCCTGCCCCCATAGGAGATCAGCGCTGGACTATACCTTTTGCAATTCAAGTTGTCCGAATATCATTCAAGATGTCTGCATATTATTTCAAGTTGTCTGAGCATGATTTCAAACTTTCTTGTTAAGCTCATCGGAGCTGACAAGACTCCCAGTGATGTCTGGATGACCACCATCACTATAGAAGACTAGGTTTGTCATCAAATGTCAACCACAGAGTAGGTAGAAGAAAAAATATCTACTCCACCCCTCTTCCCTTGTGTATCCCAAAGCAATTTGTGCACGTGCTTAAAGCACGCATACGCCCCCTCTTATTATTTTCACTACACTTATTGAGGATACTTCGTTGAATATTATTTTTACACTAACTAGGATTTCGAAGATCTTCATTTTTCCGTTTTGTCATGGCCTTAGTGATCACTGTATAAAATGCTGATCGTTGGAAGACGAATGAAAAAGGAATTCAAGTGTCCTTTTGA